AGCTGCATATGATCTTCTCCGTTTAAAAAAAGATGGAAAATGTAAACTTGTTTTGCCTTTCCAGCACACTTTGAGAGACTATAGAAAATGTATCAAACATCAAAGGGGTTTTAATAGTCAATATGTTCAGGAACCTACTAAATTAGTTTTAAACTTTTCAGTACTTGAACAATATATTGCACTCTCTTTTGATAAGATGAAAATTCAAAAAGATCTTGTGTGGGACAAGAACACAGGTGATCTAATTGGTTTTGTTGATTTTGATGATGATGATCTTACCAAAGCAACTTTGGAAAAAAAAGACACTTTAGCTTCACATATCTTTTTCTTTAGAAGTGTAATGAATCCACTAACTTCTTTTTCTTAAAAAGCTTAAGATGACAGACACTATAGCCAAAAATGACTTTTCACACTTCTTTGTGATGCAAATCATTTGAATGAAAAATCTATAAACAAGACAAATTTTTTTTTTTTTAAATTAGTTAATTTATTGCTAAAAAAATTTAAAAATTTAGTTTCTAAACTTTTATCAGTTGCATAAGCTTCCTTGGTATACACCTATTAAAAAAGTCAAAGTTTGGACAAAAAAATCAATTTTTCAACAATTTAATAAAAATAAAAACAATTACAGGTGCAACTAAACAAACCTTGAGCTTTAACTTGAGTTCCAGATTCAGGGAGCTCAACATAAACTAACTCTCCAAGTTTTTCCTAAAAAAGCAACAAAAACTTAACCAAAAAATTTTCTGGTAATACTTGAAAAGAAAAATTTTAAACATTTTTATATTGTAATTAAAAGATACTCAATATTTGGTTGGTTAGATGAGATTTTCAAAAGATTTTCTGTTAGAGACTTTTTTTAAAATGTTAACCCTAATGCCTCCATGTAACATTTTTGTTGTTCCTTTCCTTAAGTCAATGACAAGCTAGCTTGAATCATAAAGCTTCATAACTTTGCCATGACACTATCAACAATATTATATAAAAAATATTGTATATACTTGTGCATAATCTGTAATTCCAACTTTACCAACACTTCCTTCTACATCAATCCACTCATGATCTTTTGTAAAATAGCGCTGATCTAAAAAAAAAAAAAAGTTTTATGTATATATTAGTTTGCGTTATACATACCCAAATTTTGTGCTAAAACTCTGTGCCACGTTTTGAACTTTTTTTTTACTGCCCAAATTATTTTCCTATTTGGTATTCAATTTTTTTTTCTTAATTTTGGGGGTTGGAATATAAGATTTCTTTGAAAATCGTCTTAATCCAATTATTTTAAAATCAATAACAAGTTTTTGCTCAATTGATGACCAGCCTATCAACATAGCTTCTGCTTGCCTTGCAGTGGAAGATGTATTAAATCATCAATACAGAAGATATTTCTCCCTCTATCAAGGGTGTACCCTCATGGTCATCCAGTGGCACAGGACAACTCTTTTTCTCCAAGAGCGACTGAAATTTTGAAAAAATGCTTGACAATAGCCCAGCAGGATGACCAGACAGTTTGTTACTTATAAAAGTATGTTTTGTATTAAACAAAATATACAAATATACAAAACTATATTTTGATCTATAAAGATATTCTTCTTTGCAATTATTTAAAAGAAAACTTTAAAAAGAATTTAAAGTAAGGGTTGAATTGAAGACCATATATTTTTCCAAATTTTGTATTTTGTGATTGCAAAACACAAAATCTGGAAAAATATATGGTCTTCAAAATTTTAGTTTATGCAAAACTATGTAATTTATTTATAAAAGGGCGAATCAACTTAAAATTGTTAACAAAAAAGTTATAAAAAATAAAACAATAAACTTACGACTACAAAAGTAATAACACTCTAACTGCATTACAAAAGTAATAACATTATAATTATTACTTTTATAACACACTTATAACTTTTATAATTTATTCTTAAGTTCAATTCATGGAATATTGACAAAGATGAAATTCAAGTGTCTTATGATATCACTAATTTATATCCTTCAGTCCAAGTAAAGGAAGCGATAATTATCCTTATTGAGAGGTTGAAAAATGATCCTAGTTTTACATCAAAATTTTTAAAATAAAAGCACTTTTAGATATATGTCTTTAGCTGGGAGTTACTGGAAGAAAAAAGATAAAGTTTATAAAGCAATATAATGATTAACAGACAACTTAAAAAAATTATTTGAATCAGGAGAAACAAGTTACTTAAAAACTCAAAAACCGTTTCTCCACATTTACCCTTAGGTGCTTCTGATGAAGAAAGTTTATGAGAAAATCAGCATGCCAAACTTTATCAAAGGCTTCGAAATATATTGAGATTGATAGCCCTAACCTTTCCACAACTATTTATTGCATGATAAAACTTATTGGTTATTACTGCTAACAAATCAGCAGTAGAACAAGAATATTGAAATCCATATTGATGATCAGAATGTTATTAGATTCGAGATGAGAGGTTAAGTATTTGTTAAATGAAGACTTAAAATTTTCGCTTATGATAGGAAGAAGACTATTGAGAAGGTAGTTAGATGAGATTGCTCTCCAGAATTTAAAAATGGGGATAGCAGATGCTGCTTTCCAGCAGGCTGGAAAACAAAACTATAATAAGCACTTCTTAAATAGTTTTGAAAGTATAGACAATGGCTCTGAAGAACACTTTTGCAACAATATAACAGGTATGCTGTCTGGACCACAAGCTGTAGAAGAGCCTAAGAAGAAAATCACTTTAAATACAGAAGCTGGAGTGACAGATTTGCTCTCATAATAAACAGTGTTAAAGATAAAGTCTCGGGAGCCTAATTTTTGAAATAAAATATGAGATTTTGTGACCTGAGCAGTGATGTACCCACCAGTTTTTTCCCAGTGAAAACAGTTTTATTTCTTATTTGAGTCGTCTGCTTGATTATCAGTAGTCCGGTTTAAAGTTTTTTTTTTGTGAAAATAAAGAAAAAATTTAAACGCCTGACTACTAAAATACGTCTAATAAGAAACAATTTATTTAAAAATAAATTAATTTATTAAATTAATTAAAGATGTGCTGTCATATTTATCTGTATCATATCATGTTTATTTTTTATCTTATAAAAGGTTTCATTACTTGAATCAAAAGTGTTGAATACCAAAACTGCAAAGAAACGGTTCCTATATATACAGGCTTGGTCAGGAAGCGGGAGCGATCGCTCTTGAATACTGACCACGGAAATTATATTTAGTTGCGAAAAACTGGCCAGGTTTTTGAGTCATTTTGAGAACATTAAAGTTTATTTACGAAACAAAAAATTTTTGTTTTACGGACATACATGGAAACATAAAAAACTTGAACGTTCTCAAAACATCTTGGTGCGAAAGAATAAAAAGAATATTCGCAAACACTAAAAACCCGCCAAATTAAGAAACAAACTAATTCTATTGGTTCAAAAAATACGCTGACTAAGCGAAATAAAGTTTTAGAGCACTCTGTTAAAATGTTTTAGAAATTATATTATTCACGATTTGTTACGTTTTCAGATTTCTAGCATAAATCGTTTTAAGAATATATATTAATTGTTTACAAAAATAAATGTTTTAAATATATATTAATTAAATTGTCAAAATTTTAAAAGTTTATTATAAATTATAGATTTTATTAGTACATTCTTATTTTTTATTTAGAATATGTATTTAGAGTTTGTATTCTTTATGTAAATGCAATTTTGTTGATCTGTTTTTTATTGTAATGTATCTTTTAAAGCAATTTTTATGATTTAAACAAAGACTAACAAAAATAATTGCGTTTTCAATAAAGTTATAATCGTTAAAGTTAATAAAACTAATCATGTAACAAACATATAAAAAGTTTCTGGTTACTAAGCACAAACAACGCATACAAAGTAACTCGCAGATGAACAAGCACCGCACCTGAGGTCACGACAGAACATAAATATATAAGTAACTCGCGGATGAACAAGCACCGCGCCTGAGGTCACGACAGAACACAAATATATATAGCAAATAATTAGATATAAAGAAAAGTTTCTAGATATTGGTTTACTAAATCTAATTATTTTCGCTTCAGTTGCCATTCTTAAAAACTCGTTACACTTTTTTATGCTTTAATTACTAATTAAAAAGCCCACTCACTAAACATCATATTGTGATAGCAGTTTCGCTTCCTCGTCATATTTTTAACCTTTTTAGTTGATTTCTATCTTGTTAATTTAATTTCTATAGTAATTCAATGATTTGATTATTTTATTTGTTTATCTTACTAAGAAGAAATCCTTCAAATATGTTAAACTTTTCAAACTACGCGAAACATACAATAGGTATTGCAAAAATTAACTTTTTTTATTTATAAAATAATTTAGCTTAAATAAAACTAAAACTTGCAAACTTTGTTTAATAAAGAATATTTGTTTCCTTTTTAAACAATCATAAAATGTTACTTTACATAAAAAACATCGCTTAATTTTATAAAAAAAATTATAAAAGGGATGTTTCAAAAATATTTGTTCTAAACGTAATTTATTTAGCTTTAAGTTTTTTTACATTTAAAGATATTTTATTTGCCTAATTTTTTTTTTGTAATTGTCTCTCATTGGTCCAATTAATCTTGTGCGCTTTTTTTTTTTTGCTTGTTAAAATGTTCTCAAAACGACTAAAAAATCTGGCCAGCTTTTCGCAACTAAATATTATTTACGTGGTCAGCAATCGAGAGCGATCGCTCCCGCTTCCCGACCAAGCCTGTATATAGAAAAATATTATAATATTCTCTCTTAATCTTCAATCAAATTTAATTTAGTTGAATGTTTAAAACATGTTATTAATGTTTTGAACATTTTTCATTATACCAAGACTTTTTTTTTCTTAGAAAAAAAAAGAATTTCTACTTGCATCATTAATTGCATTCTAATAGTGATTTTTCCTATGCATATTGTTTTTTATTATGCTAATTTTGTTTGACTAAGTTAAAAAAAATTATTTTACTGATGATAAACTAAAGAGATTTAGTTTTATTAATGATTTAACTGCTTATTCATGTGATTCAAAATGGGACTTAAGGTTTAAAAAATAATACAATAGCATTTGGAAATGAAAGAAAATGTAATTTTAAAACTCATTTTAAATTGAGAAGATGCAAAATGCAACAGCAATGTTTAAAAAAACAGTACAGTCGCACTTTGAAATATAAATTCATGTGTGTGCTTCTATTTATTAAGTATGGTAAAATTATATAATACAGCGAGGTGTACTCATTGTTAAAGGAAATGTATACTACTTTAAATCTTTTTTAAAGTTTTCTTTTAAAAAAAATGCAAGGAATAAAATCTTAATAGATCAAAATATAGTTTTAATAATAAACACACTTTTGTAAGTAACAAACTGTCTGGTCATTCTGTCGGGTTACTGACAGGCGAATTTCAGTCGCCCTTTGAGAAAACAAATCATCCTGTGCAACCGCATGACCATGAGAGTACACCCCTGCTGAGAATAGCAGGCTTCTGGCGTTAGATAAAACCTTTTAACAATGGTTTTTAGCTATAGTAAAAATGCTTGACTTTGAATTGTGTAGAGAGAATAAAAAATTCTATGCAATCCTGAATCCAAGAAACCACATTTGTCAGCAAAAATACAAAAGATTTCTACTTTCATTTTATCATAAAAGATTGTCTGCAGATTTAAAACTACTCTGTGGATTCAAACCTAGTCTCGCGACAAATGGGTAAATTATTACAAATGTTAATGCCCAGGCCAAACATCTGACAATTGCAGTCTTTACTAATTAAAGAAATATAACTATGAACACTAAGATCACAAGATAAGACAGCTGAACTAAAATTAGTCTCACAAAGAGCAAGTAGATCTAGTGAACTTTGTAAGATATAAGACTCAACAAAAGAAAAGTTACTTCAAAAACCACAAATATTGGTGAATAGAACTTGGTGAAGAGTTTTTAGTACTTTATTGGATTTTTGGATTTGTTAAAGAACTTGACTTAAAGCACAGATAGTACTTAGTAAATAATTTATTAGTCCATGCAATTGCCTCATTACTATTAACAAACTCTAAGCTGTAACAAAGGACTGTAAGTAAAGTTAATGACCAAAACAAAGTCAATGTAAAATGTACTAAGGCGTGTAAAATCTTGTAAAACATAATTTTTATAACGTGCTTTGTTAATTCTAAACTAATTAAACTCATTTTTAAATGATAAATTTATCTAAACAGATTAAACATTTTTAAACTAATTAAACTCATTTTTAAATGATAAATTTATCTAAACAGATTAAAAATTTTTAAACTAATTAAACTCATTTTTAAATGATAAATTTATCTAAACAGATTAAACATTTTTGACTCTAGGGTATTACCATCTAGGGTTAAACCATCACCACCACATCCTCCTGCAATTCTAAGATAAAATTCTTATATTTTTTTGTAGTCTGAAATAAAATTTTAGTAACTTTTTGTATGAAAAAAGTACAAATTTTGTAAAAAACATTTTTTTATAAATAAATTTTTTTTTTTTTTTTTTTTTTTTCACATTTCAGGTGGTTTGGCACTCTCTCTATGCTCCAAGATCTACTAAACCAAGTCTGGTGGGTAGATATCAAACTTGTGGCCCTATGTTTTATCTATCTTTTGATACCAAGTTAAATGGATTTAGATAAGAATTGACAAAGTTATTACAATTTAAAGAAAACTAAATTTTGACTAAAGTTTCTTTAACAATTCCATAGATCAAAAATCTGGAACTTAAAACTTGTAGAATTGTTCTTTAATATTTTTTTATTCACTATTAAAATACTGTATTAAAGCTCTTTTTAATGAAGTTTAACTATAATATATTACTTTATAATTTTTAAAGAATCCTCCAAAAGGTTATGATAATCAAAACTTTTATTTAAAAAAAAATTATTTAAACAATATTAGTGTCTACAAAATAAAAATTAATTCTATAATAATAGTGCAGAATTAAATAATTAAATTTATATCCTAAAATACTGGATTCTAACAAATATGAAAATTTACTATTGATATACTTACTTATCTGTTAGAATCCATTATTTTAGGATACAAATTAAAATACTAATATTGCACAAGTTTTATAAATTTCAAAGATATACAGTATAGGAATTTAAGATAAAACTGTTACTATTAATTTCTATAATGTTTAGATCAGTAAATACTAGAAAAAAACTATTTTATCAAAAACTTTATTTAAGATAGTTTTATAACAAAAATTTGAAACAGCTTACATAGAAGTGAACTATTCGATAGTTTCCTTGAGCATGGTATTGTTTGTAAAAAAGAATACCGCAATGGAATTTGGATTTGTTTAAGGTAACGACAGGCTTTTATAGTTATTGCTCCTGCCATTTTGTCTTGCGGCAAATGTGCAATAGGGTGTTTCATATCTTATCAATTTTTGAAATCTAATCAATTTTTGAAATCGATTTATAAATTGACTATTTGTATAAAACAAAGTTTGAGCAAAAAAAAAAAAAAAAAAAAATTATTTTTAGGGTCCCCGCCAGTTCGATTTTAGGCCAAAATTGTCGGATGTTTTAAATGCCTGGCGGGGACCTTAAAATTTATCTAAATTTTTTTTTTTTTTTAATTTTATATGTTGGATTGAATGTTTATCACATAAAAGGAGCATGAGGAAAAAATTAAGAAATTAGTCTACAGAATATTTTTAAATTGGTGAAAAATCCAAATTTTCTTTCTCAAAAACCTATTTTATTACTCGGTGGCGTATAAAAAACTTTTTTTTTTCCTAATAAACTGTTTCCAAACACGGAAAAAACTATAATTTGAATAGTTTTTTTATTAGTGGTAAATTAAGTCTAAAAAAAAATAATAATTGGATCCATGGAGTAACATGCCCCGGACACTAACCTTAATGGCCCCTACTTAATAAACATTAGAGCGCAATAAATTTAAAATCCGGAAATTTGATCGGAAAATATTTTTAGAAAATGTATATACCAAGGTACTTAAATAATAATTTAAAATTTAACAACATCTTTCCAATGCGAAGACAAAGTATTTAAACTAAATTTGCGTTACTAATAATAAGTGCTCTAATAATTTTTTAAATAATATTCAAAATGGCTAAAATTACGAGACTAAAAGCTAGAGCTTATTTATTTGAAGAAGAAAGCCTGATAGAAAACTTAACTCAGATAACTTTTGCAACAAATAAAGAATTAATTCTTAACTTTCAGTTTAAAAGATCTAGTAACAAGTTAACTCCATCCAAAAAGTTTATTGGTTGTACTGATGGGCCCGATAAATTCGCAAAGTGCTCCGGACTTGTCATTAAAGAAAAGTAAGAATAAGGACTCTAAAGCAGCAGAGAAATCTAGGGAAGAATTCAAAAAGAAGGGGGAGCAGGTATTTTTGATTGGTAAAGATAATATTAAGGAAATTTTAAAAAAAACAAACCTTGATAAACTTTCATACTATGTTGATATCAAATTTTTAAAAGACCAAAAGTCCAGTCGTCTAATGACTTTAGGGAGCAAAGACATGAGATATAAAACGGTATATAAAGATAAGAAGCCTTTAAAAAGTTGTAATATTAAACAGTTACCCCAAATAGACGAATCAACTACAGATCTATAGCTTTTCTCAGATATCAGTGACGTGAGTACAGAATCAGATATTTCTTTTGATTTATCGCAACCCGGCCCAAGTAACGCAAAACAAGAGTTAAGGAAAGGTTTTGTTAAAGATATTGCCATGACATCAGTCTCAAAAAATATTTCATCAAGAGATCTAGTGCATGTATGTACGGATTTAATCATAAGTTCAGGCGGAAATGTGGCTGATTTTTCAGTGTCTCATTCAACTATTTGGCAAGCTCAAAAAAAATCTAGTCGGGAAAATGCTGAACAATATAAGAAAAATGTAAAAATTGCTACCGCTAAAGCTACTTTTCCCATAATGGCACATTTTGATGGAAAAATTATCGAAGACATCACAGAAGGTATAAAATCAAAAAGAGATCGATTTGCGGTCTCGGTAAATATTGATGGTAAAATGAAGCTCCTTGGCATTCCAGCAATTGATCGTGGTACTGGACAAGCTCAATATGATGCTTTAGTTAAAATACTGGATGAGTATAGAATATGTGATGACGTGAAATATTGCTACCACTTTCTTAGAAATCCATAGACTCGATGCTGTAAAATATTGCGAGATTGCTCTAAAAAAAACACTTTTACCAGAGGAGACTACAAGGAGTTATTGAAACTGACTCTAATGTACTTATACCCTGAAAGAGATTTTTCAAATTCAAGCTCCAGGGTGCGTGTCTCATGCACGTTTTATGTCCAAAGCTATTTATTATCTCAAGATTCAGATATTGAGTTTGCAAATTTCTTATGAATTGACAGATAATCAAAAGAACGAAGTGCAGTCTACGGTTGAGTAGACTGCACTTCGATCTCAATCTTTTATACCTTCTGGTTTTTAAAAACCTCTTTACCAAGATATAAAAGCCTATTGACAAATGACAAAATATAGAGGTTACGTAGAACAATATGTTATGAATTCTGAAACAATTTTAAATGGAATTGATGCCATAATGGTTTCAATGGAATCACATTTATGGTATCTTGATGAAATTTTAATTCCGCTGGCTCTTCTAGACCAAGGTATTTCTGTTTCAGAGAGAGAAGATGTTGCAAAAATGCTCTTTTCGAAACAAGTTCCTGAATTTTTTCGGCATTCCGAGAAATTAAATTTGTTAAAAACTCTTAACTTTAACCTAGAAAAACCACCAAGTATTGCCCAACTAGTGGGAGAAAACTCTTGGTTCATATTTAGTTTGTTAAACCTTACTAAGCTAAATGATAAACTTTGGTTAAACAGCCCGGCACCACTATGGGAGTATATTGAACAGTTTAAGATTTTTTCCCAGTTTGTTTCCAACCTTGCAGTGGTTAACGACGTTTCTGAAAGATCTATTATCTATTAAGTTGTATCAGACTTTGTAAATAACGTTCACAATGAAGACGATCGACAGGAGTTACTGCTAGCTATTCACCAAAGGAGAGAAAACTTTAACAAGGCAAAGACTAAAGAAGATTTGCAATTAGCATATCAAGCAATTGCAAAATAGATAATATAGTTTTTAAATGATGGCTTTTATTTAATAATGTAATATTGATTTGTAAATATGTATTTTTTATTTAATTATACTTAAACATATCATCCTTTTTATTTTTTGATTTTTTACAAAACCAAAAAAAACTTTGCAACAATACCAAGAAAATTATTTAAAGTTGAAAAGCTACCATATACTTTCTAATCTTGAGGCAATAAAACTAATAACAACAATACCACTTTTAACCATGCAGTAACTATATTTTTCGATGTTCGTGTTTGTAACGTATATTAAACATTAGAAACGAGTGGCATATCAAAAGGTTATTTATAAACAAAATATTTTGGATTTTATGATTGTTTTTCGGCAATTTGGCAATTTGACCCTTTTTGACTAGTTAGTTGGCAAATGTTAACTAGTTAGTCGGTAAAAAGTCGGCAAATTGATATATTTAAATACTTTTTATAACAATCACGTATTTGTCTTTTTAATTGTAAGACTTGTATTTTCTCTTGCCTATTAAAAAGAGATGTATTACTGTATTTACTTTGTACATATATGTATTTATATATTTACGTGTATGTATTTATTTATATATAGTTTTTATAAGATCTGATGATATGATCAGACTTTTTATTATAGATAAGATTAGTGGTTTGATTTATATTTTCAATTTATATCACGATTTATTGTAATTTTTTAGTTTTGTTAATGTATTCATTTTAAAAAACTTGTAAAAGGTTCTGATGATAAGATCATTATGATCTTCTTTCAGAAGTCTTGTCTGTTTATCTTTGTAAACAACGACTAATATTGATAAAAAAAATAAATATTTCTAAAACACTGCTGTAAGTTGAAGTCTCGTATAATAACTCTTTCATCATTTGACTGATCAATCACAAAACATTATTCACCCTAATGTCTTTTTACAAGACATTAGCGTGAATAATTTGAGTGGCTCAATAAATTTCTTAATCTGTTTGAAATATATTCAATTTCGAGAATGACCTTTCACAAGAAACTTGTGATGAGGATAATGTCAACACAAATTTGTAAACCAGAAACAAGTTTAAATACGCAAGACTATGCATAGTAAACTTCTGAAGAAAAATTTAATAGAGTTTCTCTCACAAGACACTCTGTTAAATTATTTCAAAATTGAATAAGATTTATGGGGGTCACCTCTTGATACTTGCAACAAGACCCTAAACAAAAGAAGAAAAAGTTTTTCAAATGTTTTTTTTTTTTTTTTTTTTTGTTATTCACCTCCTTAAGGCAGAGAAGGCCACTACAGATGAGGAGGCTACTTAATAGTGTTTATAACCCTCTCTCAACTCTATAACTTCGAAACACGAACCTTGACGAACAAAGCCGCTGCGTTTAAGCGCAGCGCAGATGATAAAATTGCGCTTATTAAAACGCAGATGGTAAAACTTCGCTTCTTTTGAGACCCAATAAGACAAACGTTAGTCTTATTGGGTCTCAAAAGAAGCGAAATTTTATAAAAGTTTTAAAAATAATAATAAATTTACACAAAATTTATTATTTTAAGTTTTACTGCGTGAAAGTTATTGTTTTTTAACAAAAAATTGAAAAAACTTATTTTTTCATGGTTTTTGTCGAAATTTCTTTTTCAAGGTAAAAATTATAATTGTCTTTGAAATTTTCACATGAGCAGGAAAGAAATTTTTTTGATAAGCGTGGATTAAGCTACAGAGGTGCAGAAGAGTCTGATTTCACATTGCTTAATGACAGTGTAGATTATGAGAATTTTTTGGATACTCTTTTGCTTGTTAGCAAATTTGATTAAAAAAAGCGAGTTCTGCCATGGTTCAGTTGGCAACAAAAGAGGCCGGAGGAGGCGGCTTGGTCCTGTTTCTGTCAAAAATGATGTCTGTGATCCAATATGTTTAAGAAACTGCAAATGAACGTGTAATATTGATAGTCAATTGCACATCAATAACTGGAAAAGCAATGTGTGATTTAGTTTGTTGCGTTTTTGAAAAGGTAGGCATTTGTATAAGTAAATGTATTGGCAATGCCACCGGTGGAGCCTCCAATATGTTAATAAGGTCAATACAATTCAATATCTAGCTATATGCAGTCTTCCCAGGCCAGATTCATGTATATGTTATGTGTATGTCTTAAACTTAAAAATGGGTGACGTTACTTAAAAAGCGGTTAAAGTTGTTGCCTTATTTGGTGTTTTAACACAGGTACAGTATTTTAACTGTTTTAATGTTTGGCATAAATTTAGCGAGTTGAAATGTATATTTGTAATCGGTGAAAACCGTTGGTGGGCGAATAATAAAGCTCTTACTAAGATATTTAAAATTTTCTTCATCAAAACCTCCAATAAGAAACACAAGTTATTGATTATTTATACATTGACAATTTACAAATATTTCATGATATTTTGTTTTGATCCAAAAAATTTTGCAGAAATTTTTAAAAAAAAGCTAGTGACGCATTACAGCACCTCAGTGGGTTGCTCAGCACCTCAGTGGGTTGCTCAGAAAATTCGATGCTTGTGTAACAAAAGAGTAGCTTCAAACAATGTACTTTGATAGGAAATGTTTCTTAATAACTCTTGAAAATAAGTATAATTTGCCATTCGACGCAGAAGTATTTAACTCTGTCTCGGACAACATCCGACAATCTAAATCCGTACAATTTGAAGCTGTCTTTACAATCTTAGGAGTAGAAAACAATGACAGCCACAAAAATAAATGCAAATCTTGCAAAAAATGTACTGTTTGTAGTTACATTGTTCTTCAAAAGTTCAATATGCATAGTCTTGCGTAGTCAAACTTGTTTCTGGTTTACAAATTTGTGTTGACATTATCCTCATCACAAGTTGCTTGTGAAAGGTCATTCTCAAAATTGAATATATTTCAAACAGATTAAGAAATTTATTGAGCCACTCATATTATTCACGCTAATGTCTTGTGAAAAAGACATTAGGGTGAATAATGTTTTGTGATTGATCAGTCAAATGATGAAAGAGTTACTATACGAGTCAATAGTGAATAGCGATTGTGTCTACTATTTATAGACTTCAACTTACAGCGGTGTTTTAGAAATATATATATTTTTTTATTACTATTTAGGCTGAGAAGTTTTAAATTTTTTTATACATAAAATAAAAATAAATCCTAAAAAAGGCATCTAAAAACTTTTTTTATACATTCAACAAAATAAGAGTGTTCGAAGCGTAATGTCACTAAATATTTTTGGGCACGGGATTTGGATCCTTTGTTCTAGAGTACGTATTTATACTTTTTATCAGTCGTCGCTGGACTTATTCTTAAGAGAATGTCTTAAAACAACTTGTTTTAAATTAGGTTCGTCATTCGTATCTTCTTGATACGACTTAATAACGTAGTAAAGACAAGACGTGTTTTATACGTTAATAAAATGTAGTAATACGTTTAAATACGTGTTTTAGACGTATAAAATACGTTATGTGCCTACTGGATAGCGCACCGTATGTGCCGAAATAGAAAATATTAATCGACTTATTTTCTAACAAAAATATCTTTACGCGATATGAATATTAAATTTATAATATTATAAAAATTTTAAATTATGGGACGCAAAGAAATCAACAAATCACAAACAGATATTGAAAAATATAGGAAGCAACTGGGTATACTATAAGCTAAATTATTTAATATCATCAAAGTTAAATTAGTAATTCTGTATTAGGCTAAACCTAAATATTAAAATTTGGATAATTATTAGAATGTTTTAAAAATAATAAAGAAGTCTAGACATTTTTTGGTGGAGTGTTTTTTGTAATATTTAGAAGTTTAATGGAGAAAGTAAGAACAGTTAAAATATATACATCGAATGCATGCAAAATTTGAACTTTAAATTTACAGTTTAAGTGGTAAGAATCAGAGTCAGAGTCTAGTGTTGTGAAAATAGAAAGTAGTTTAAACGAATTAAAATAAAATATAAAAATAGCCATATTTTTAAAGAAACAAAAATTTTATAATAATTTTTAAATTTTATTAATTTTGCGGGACGATATGTGTTAGCTGGGTATTAAGATATGATTATGAACACTCTATACTTTTCGTGATTAAATGTGTGTATGCATGACATGTTTTTATTTGTAAGTGTTATTAAAAAATATATTTGTTTATTTATTGTTATTTTTAATGAAATATTGGTAATCCTACAGTTATGCGGCCTAAAATAATTTTATTTTTCCGCTTGTCAGTAGAGGATTTACAAACAATAGGAATATAATTGAAATAATAAAGTGAAAAAAGATTGCTGCCCCATGCCAAACCCTCATTTGATGTAGCAGCTTTTCCTTGTAGCAGCAGTCTATAAGATAGTTGATGTAGCAGCACTTCGTTGCGAGTCAGGCTATAAGATAGTCAATGTAGCAAAACCCCCTGGCGTAACAAGCGCAAAAATATAATTATTTTGGGCCGCGTAACTGTAGCTTTACCAAAATATTCAATTGTTTTTTATTATGATTATTGATATTAAGATTGTTTTTAATTCTAGTCAGTGCACAGTTTCTCCACATATACCCTTAGGTGCTTCTGATCATGGTTTAATCTCTCTAAAATTATTATCTCATTCTTCTTTATCATCAGAATCCCCTTATCATTGTACATCTTATAACTACCTTAAAGCTGACTGGGACTCTTTCCGTGATTTTCTTTGTGATGGCCCTTGGGTAGAAATCTTTACTCTTCCTGCTGACAAATGTGCTTCTTACATAACTTCTTGGATTCAGGCTGGCATGGAATTTTTTATTCCACTTTGATAATTCTAAATCAAGCCTTTTCATTGCATTGTGCTGCTGCAATTTCCAATCATAACCATTACTTTTATATCTACCAGCAAAACAATTCTCCAGAAAACAGATAGTCTGTTAACTATTATTAGAAACCATTGTAAAAAAGTTTCATCTAACGCTGAAGCCCACTATTCTCAGGTCACAAAATCTTATATTTTACCTGAAAAATTAGGTTCTGGATGAACCTTTAACAGTATCTATAATAAGGGCAAATCTTTATTCCACTTCTCCTGTATGGTTCAGATTTTGTCACCGCACCTAAAGATAAAGCTGAACTGTTTGTTAAGAATTTTTTTATTAATATTATCTCTAGGTTCCACTAGTTGTGTTCTACCTGATATAGCTGACAAACAAGTTGATCCATTGCTTGTCATTCGTATCCCTCCAGCTTCTGTACCTAAAGGGATTTACTGCTTAGACCCTTCTACAGTTTGTGGTCTAAAACTATTTTACTAGTGCCTATCAGAGTCTTGTTTTACAGCCTGTTGGAAAACGGCATCTGTTATCCCTATTTTCAAAAACTCTAAAGAGTGATCTGACTTGTCTAACAACCATCCTGTTTATTTTCTTCCTATCATAAGCAAGGTTTTTGAGTCTTTAATTAATATACATTTAATCTCACATCTTAAGTCTACAGGCTTTGTTAAGAAGCGTTTCCCTATTTGAGTTTTACTTACGTATTCAAGATTTCACGTACGCGTTTCGCTATTTACGTTACGCAAAAACTTTTTTCAATAAGTTTATTTTAAACAGTCTTTTAAAACAGATTAAGCGGAAAACATTAAACTGTAATTAATTGTTGTAAAAAAATGTTTGTGGAATATTTTTTTAAAATAGATATCCTTTTTTCTATTTTCCATTTTTAAAAAAAATATATTTATAATTTATTTTATTAAGTTTGAATTAATTTTAATATTATTCATAACTTTTGTAATTTATTTGATTAAATTTAATTAAAATTATTTTACAATTTTTTTTACAAATAAAATTTCGAAAATTTATGTTAAAGTAAAAAAAAATTAATAAATTTAATTCAAGTAACTTTAAAATGTTCGCATTACATATAACTTCATTTTAATTTCATTTAAGTTTCAGGTAAGTTCCAGTTCCAAATACTGGTCTAAATAATGCGATTTTGTAGTTAATAAATGACGTCATACAAAAAAGCTCTTTCAAACTTGAGTTTAAATGTTGTTTGGGTTTTCCCATTGCCGTTAACTTTTATGCAGTAGAATTTTTTTTATAAAACAAACCAAACTTTAAACCGATTAAAAATAACGCAATCAATAAATAAACTCTTTAAAAGCCCAACTTATATTTATTGTTTTTAAAAAACAAAACTAATACTAGTGCTATAGATATAAGATGTGTAAATTTTAAAATTATACTGATATTTGTTAAAACAAGTTCTGCTAATAACATCTTATAACCGAAAATACTTTTTTTCTTTTTAGATTTAGTAAGAAATAGTAAAAATACTCTAGGTTTCATGGTACATAAAAATAAAATATATTAATGGAAATAAAAAAAAAACAAAGGCGAAAAGCGGTAATCTTTGTTTAATTAAAAATTTTTAATTTAATCTAAAGCCAGTTAACGCAAAGGTTTTTTAAAAAGGGGAAAACCCAATCTAACTGTGTAGAAGTACACTTTAATCACTTAAAAAAATCAACCATAAACAAGTGTCCCACTTATTTTAAAAAAATTACCATAAAAAGAATGTTTAAAAGAAAAAAAATTAAGTTTAAAATTTTAACTGTAAATAAGTATAAGATTTTAAAACAAGGAAATTATTTTTTAATCAACATTTAAATATAATTTATAACTTTTTTTTATAGCAATATTGTTTAATTTAAAGATATTTTATTTAAAAGATTTATAATTTCTAATGCGTTTTTGAATTGAATTACAATGAGGTAAATACGCAACTAACGCAATTAAAATTTTAACGATGTAAATATCTTTTTTAATAAAGTTACATTAATTCAGGTTGCGCTTTTCTGTTACTCATCAAAATCTCATAACAAGGCCTGAGTCTAATAACTTCTACAGCTGATTTGGTAACAGTAATAACCGATAGGTTTTATCGTGCATTAGATAGATGTGGAGAGGTAAGGCTATTGCTTTTAACATTTCTAAAGCTTTTGATAAAGTTTAGCATGCTGGTCTTTTTCATAAACTTCCTTTTTATGGTCTTATTATTTTTCATAAACTTCCTTTTTATGGTTTTATTACTTCCTTTTTATCAGGTAACATTTTTAAGATTATTGAATCCTTCTTAACCAATCGTATTATTAAAGTTGTCCTTGATGGGCAGCATGCTTCAATAACCACTCTATGAACATATCCTGTTACTTCAGAGGTTCTATCCTTGGCCCTATACTCTTTTTAATTTACAATAATGATCTTCTAGATATTCTCACATCTAAGGTGGAGTTGTTCGCTGATGATGCTACTATTTATTCTTGTCTCGATAAAAAACCAACACTCTCTGATTGCTTGGAGGGGGTATTTAAGCTTGAAGAGGGTCTTTATTTAGATAAAACTCAATTTTTCAGCTAATCCTTATCACAACAATCAAAATCTTTGTATATCTATGAAAGGTAATGTACTTGATGAATCAGCTTCATCTTCTTCTTCATCTTCATCTTCTTGGATTTACTCTTCCTTTGATCTTTCTTATTATATTTATCAAATATATATAATAATATATATATTAATATATATCAAATATATATTTTATATATCAAACCCATTGCAAAATTAGCATCTGCTAAGGTTGTATCTCTTTATCGAGCTCAACACTAAACAATATTTATGAAGGGTAATGTACTTGATGAGTCATCTAACCTTTTACCTTCTAGGATTAACTTCCGATCTTTCTTTATAAACTTCATATTTTCTCTTCCAGTAACTTTCTACACTAATAATGGTATATTTATATATATTCATAAACAAGACAAATTTTTAAAATTCTAAAACCATTTTATTAATAAAAAACAATACATGTTTCGACGAACACTAGTCATCATCAGTTAAAATTAAATATTTAAGATTTGTTAAAATACCTATAAAGGTTGTTAACAAAAACAACAATACAAAATATAATTATTCTTGTACAAACTAATAATAATATAATTACAAAAATACCATATATAAATAACCACTCTATGAACATACTTTCTTTAAGTTTTAACTTGAATTTGCTAGATGCTGATTCTACTCACCATCTCTAGACCTTGATTTCTTAACATAATAAAAGGGACAAAAAGTCTCATATCTATAAACATCTCCATGCTTTAAATTTAATTAGACTGTGAGTTAAACAGTTAAAATGATTATTTAAAAGTTTTTAATTAAAAATTGACGTAAAATAACTATGTTGCATTAATAATTTTAATAAATAAAATAAATAATTTTTATATTTTTAGAAAAATTTCTATTAGGTAACTTGGTTTGAAGCTAGCTTTGTAATTTTTTACTAAATTATTTTGTTTTCGTGATGGTATTTTAATATGAATTGAGATCGTTTATTTAGTAATTCTTATAGTTTTAAGTAAAGAATCGCAAATTTTTTGTTTAGACAAAAGAAGATTTGTGGTTGTAACTTTTTTTTTCCTCTTGCCTTCTGTTAGTCTGATGAAGATATTTTTGGCTGATATTTAGCCATGACAATACATTTCTGAACCTCGGAGGTAAACTGCACTATGTCATTATTATCAACTTTTCTGTAGAGCGGTTTGAATATGGTTGTTATATATATACTATATATATATATATATATATATATATATATATATATATATATATATATATATATATATATATATATGTATTATATATATATATATATATATATATATATATATATATATATATATATATATATATATATATATATGTATTATATATATATATATATATATATATATATATATATATATATATGTATATATATATATGTATTATATATATATATATATATATATATATATATATATATATATATATATATATATATATATATATATATATATATATATTACATATAATGACATAGTGTAGTTTACCTCCGAGGTCCAGATTTATATATAACAGTTTTAAATCTACATTTTCTGTTTTGGCATTCAATCTTGTTTCTACCGTTTTAAAAAAGATTTTGGTATATTTGTAGAAGTCTTTTTGATATATGGAGGATTAAACCATATGATGTTTTGTTTTTGATTTCTTTGGGTTGGTTTAGAGTTGGTTGGCTAGAGTTGCAAAGCTATATTTTATTATAAATATTGTTATAAATATTAGCTTTATGCTAATTCATGGTACTGCACATGGTACTAATTCATTAACTAACATTAATATATTTATATACACAGCTCTAGTGTATATGAATATATATATAGACACACGCACAGTTATCAAGCTAATAAGAATATCAATTTCAATTGATGTTTGAATTATAAAATGGTGTTGAGTAAATAAAAGAATTTTATTTTTACAAAATAGGTAAAGCGAATTAGAAGTAAGAATTTAGAAGAGCAACTCCTGTATAACTAATTTTTAATCTTCAAAAAAAACCTTGAAAAATAGTATGCTAAAAAACTTCTTTTTTAAAAAAAAAAAAGTTATTTAGGGGTTGTCCATAAACACTTAAATACTCATAAAGAACTTGTTACAAAAGAGTTATGATATTGTGGTGAGATAGGGAGGGGATCAAAAAGGGTCAAAAATTGTGTGGTGTAATTTGTTGGTTACCTCTTAGCTTATGTTTACTCCAGTTGTGGTTTTAGAATTATTAACATAAAGTTGTTTTTGATTTTTAATGAAGTTTATTTAAAAAGCAAAATATTAACAAGTTATATTATAATAAGTTATTATATTATTTATTACCTAGGAAAGCAAGAATTTAAGGGCAGAAATAAAAGAAATGTATTATCAATAAAAGCTAAAGCAGAAGCAAGACGACAGGAATCACCTCTGAAGGTTGTAAAGATAAATTTTATTTTGGTTGTTTAAGATATAGGTTTACTTTCTTTACTTTCATCAAGGCTGCAAGCAACCACTATTAGAGTTAAATATTACTGAAAAAGAAAAGATGAAGTCTATAGAGCAAGATAATGGTTAGCAGATGACTTGAAAGATTGCAAGTTATATTAATTAGAAAAATAAGATATAGGAAGTAAGAGTTAATCCTAAAAGACAGAAGGTAGATGACTCATTGCGCAAATAACCGTTCATAAGTATACGAAGTTCTAGATAGTTGCGATTACATTTATTTGAAAAAAAATCGAGTTAAAGTTCACTTTTTTCTCTTTATTCATCGGCCAATATTGCTGTTAGTGACTTTAATGCTAATCACACATTTTGATGTGATGACTTGATGTTTTGACATTAATAATGATTCAATTTAAATTACACTGGATGTCTTGGTTTTAGTGTCAGTGACTCTGCATGTGTTAAGGCTTCAACTTTTGCCCTTCTCAATCAAATCTCGTATTTCATTACAAAAATTAGACTTCCAAGACTTCTGGAGAATCTTTAACAGTGTCTATAATAAATACAAATCTGTAATTACACCTCTCTTGCATGGTTCAGATTTTGTTACCCTACCTAAAGACAAAGCTGAATTGTCTGCTAAGAACTTTTCATCATTCTCATCTCTTAATTCCACTAATCACATCCTATCTCATATAGTCAACAAACAGGTTGACTTATTGCTTGACATTTTTATTACTCCAGCTTCGTACCTTAAATGATTTCCTGCTTAGATTCCAGACAAGATACCAGTTATACTCTTGCATAATTGTTTTCCATAGCTGTTGTCTTTACTTTCACAACTATTTAATAATTGCTTATCTGCGTCTTGTTTTCAGCCTGCTGGAAAGCAACATCTTTTATTCTTATTTTCAAAAATTCTGGGGAGTATTCTAACTCATCTAACTACTGTTCCTATTATGAGCAAGGTTTTTGAGTCTTTAATTAACAAACATTCAATCTCTCATCTTGAATTTAATAACTTTCTAATCATCAATTATGAATTTTGATCTTCTCATTCTACTGCTAATTTGTAAACAGTAATAACCAATAGGTTTTATCATACATTAGATAGATGTGAAGAGTATCCTTGAAGTTTCAAAAGCCTTTGATAAAGTTTGACATGTTGGTCTTTTCCATAAGCTCTCTTATTTTGGTGTATCAGGTAACATCTTTAAGACTATGGAATCTTTCCTCACCAATTGTAGTATTATAATTGTCCACAATACTCTTCATCATTTCCTGTAACTTTAGGGGCTTCTTAAGTTTCTATCCTTGATCCTTTAATGTACAATAATTATCTTCTAGAAATTCTTACATCCAAGGTTGCATTTTTCTTGTCTTGAAAAACAACATTCTCTGATTGCTTGGAGATGGCATTTGAGCTTAAAAAAGATCTAATTTCTGCTACAGCTTGGGGTTCTTAGTGGCTGGTTTTTTGACTCGATTTTTTTTCAAATAAATGTAATCGCAACTATCTAGAACTTCCTATACTTATGAACGGTAATTTGTTCAATGAGTCATCTACCTTTCGTCTTTTAGGATTAACTCTTACTATAAACCATATGTCAAATCCATTGCAAAATTAGCATCTGTTTAGGAAAACGAGATCACTTCCTTGATCTTATTTTCCTGATTCATATAATTTCCAATCTTTCAAGTTGTCTGTCAATCGTTATCTTGCTTTATAAATCTTTTCTCTTCTAATAACTTCCAACTTTAATAGTGATTACTTGCAGCCTTGTTAGAAGTAAAGATGTTTAAAAAAAGGATTTTGCTTAACAACTATATTTGTAGATGAATTCTTTGTATTTGCAATTCTGTTAAACAGGAAATGTTTCCTTTAAAGGTGTTTGATAAATTCTTAATGCTATTAAAACAATCGCTACTTAAGATAACCTGATGATTTTATTTTTTACATTACACTAACTTCACTATTCATAGTAGTAAGTATGGTCATATGTAAAAAGTGATGTCATCAGAGTTTTAAAAAGGTTATGATTAATATTGATGATGTCATAATAGTTAACAAAATATTATGCTTCTACTCCATCCAAGTTATTGATATATTTAGGTGGAGCATGAACTTGCAACAGTACATTTTTACAATGCACAGTTTTAAAATATTCAAATACGTGATGTCATACCTGCAACAAATGTAATGATATTTTTTGTAGATTTAAAAAAAATTCAGCATGTTTTCTTCAAAAATTTCATATATAATAGATATAAATAAAAAATAGAATCACAGTTTATCTTTTTAAATTTATGTGTCTAATTTTTTCTACACTTCATTACAGCCTTTCTTCTTACTTTATGCTGTTGCAACACCTGTAACTACAAAATACAAACCTTGATAAACAAGATGAATGGGTGGGGAAAGAAGTTAAGTAAGGTTCTTCCAGGAGTAATGTGGGTTTATAATGTAATAAATAGACAAAAAAGTAATACGTTTTTAATAGATTTTTTTTTCTATTAAAAATTCAATAATTGACATTGAATCCAAATACAGTAGCTTTATTCTAAATGAAATGATGAAAAAAAAAAAACATTTGCTAAACTACTTTCTAATCAACTTGTTATTTATTATATATTTATGTTATTTATTATATATGTTATTTATTATATATTTATGTTATTTATTATATATATTATTTATTATATATGATATTTATTATATATGTTATTTGTTATATATTTATGTTATTTATTATATGTTTATTTATATTTATGTTATCATGTTAACAATATTATATGATAATATGTTGTCCTTGAATATTTCGTTTGGATTGTCTTTTTAGACTGGTATTGTAACCCTTGGCATCTTGGTTGGCTTGTTAACAGCAGTCTATTTCTTTTTTTATTTTGGACTTGCTAAATAATTTTTTTTTTATAATTTTTTCAAATATGTTTTATGTTGACTTTTCTTGTTAAAGTAATTTAAAACATTTTATATATCAGTTTTTTGTTTTATTTTGAATTTGGTAGCTTTTGGTTATCTTTTACTTCTATGAAAACTAAGGGAAAATGTTTAGTTTTACTTTTTAAGTTTTATAGAACAAATAAAATTAAATATTAAGGAAATAATTGTAATTTTCAATAAATAAATGTTTGTATTTTTAATATTTATGAATATATAAGATATGTGAATCTTTAATAGATATGAGGTCCTATTTGTTGTTTTTTGGGATTCCCTTCTCTTTTTTGCTTGGAATAAACATTTTGTCTAAATTTATATTTAGTTTTGCTAGGTGCAACGGTATGTTTATTATTTATTTATTTTTTTACTATTTAGCTTAAATAAATTATATTTAAATGTATTATATTTCAAATATTTGTGTGCGTGATTTGATTTGACTATTTCAAATATTTGTGTGTGTTTTTGATTTGACTATTTCAAATATTTGTGTGTGTGATGCGACGTTGATATGACCATTTCAGAGTCATATAAGGAAACCAAACTCCTAGTTTTTGAGCAATAACCAAGCTGTTACAGATGAGGTATCATAACGGTATTTCAAAAAAATACAATGTATTCGCCTAGAAGAGCATGGTTTTCCGTGGGTCGTTTTCAATTTGCTTTTTTAATCAGCTAAAATTTATTTCCAGAGTTTGTCCAGGCCTAGACTTATAATATTCACTGACAAGAATAAAAACTTCAAGTCTAATCAGAACTGTCGACTTTTAAACAATCTAGTAAGTTTCGATTTGCCAAAAATTAGGCTTTAATTTATTTCTCCCCATAAAAATATTTATAAAACTTTTATAAGTTTTATAAATATAAAATTTTTATTAAACTTATAAAAGCATATTAAATTCTATTTAAATTATGATTAAACAGCTGTTAGAATATTGGCATTTGACCGGCCACACTGGAATTAAAACTGTTTTATTCGTATTCTGTTAAAAATTCCCACCCACCATTTTATTAAGTCTCCCCTGCCTCCTCCTTTTATTAGATCTAGATTAAATTTCCACAAGTTTTTTTTAAAATGGAAATGTAATACGTAAAGAAGTTATATTTCTACATTTTTCGATAACTTTTATCCTTTCGTAAGTTTTATTTTGGCGAGTGCTTTTACAAATTGTTTAATGAAAATTAAGTTCATATGTAAAGGTGGCAATAATATCTTATTCGGTGAATAAATATAAAAATTAGTTCTTTAGTCTAACAGTAAAATCATCTTGCTTAGGCCTATGTGTAATGACAATGACTTGCTTGTAAATTCCAAAAGAGGTCCACCGAGGTCCGGTATCAATTATAAACCAAAGAAGTTGTGGAAAATTTGATATCAAATAATGAACTAATCATTCTTTTAATCAATTCATACCAAAACATAAGCAACTACTTTTGGTAAATAAAAATGATTTTTTTTTAATATATTTTTGTTTTAGTGTCTCAAGAAGATCAGTTAAAGAACACCAGAAAGAGCATTCAACTAGAAAATTCTTTCGTGTAACTACATAGGCTCAGTCGTAAACGACAGCTAAATCAAGAGTGTTGTAATATCCAAGCAGCCAGGTTTACTTTTGTATCAAAATCAGCAAAAAGCAGTTATCAATTATGTTTATTAATTATACATTTTTTCTTTTTTGCAAAAAAGGTATCATTCAATAAAACAGTTGTTTCTCTCATTTTTACAGTTACTATGAAAGAAAGTTGCCATTTTGTCATCACAATCTGCAGCAAACGAGGTATACAATCACATATAGCAAATGCGCGCAATTTAAACTCGAAATTCATTTAACTAATGGCTAGTTCATTGTTAGAATTGTAAAAAAAAACTTCTACTCAATAAAATTATATATATTTACTGGGAAGATGATAAAATACATATTAATTAATTATAATTAATATGTATTTTATCATCCCCGGTAATTGAAAAGAACATTTGAAGGGGGGGGGGGTAATATAAATATGGGCTAGTCATATTGAAACCAAACAATGAAACAAACAGATAGAGATCGCAAATTTGTCGTAATTGGGCAAAATGTCGCATACGTCATTATGAAATTTTTTTGTTTTTTTAAATTTATTTGCCCAATATATCACATTTAAAATTGTAATTTATAAATAAACACATACATACACATATATACATATACTCATACACACACACACACACGCACACGCATATACATTGATAAGAAAGAAAGCGTGAACTTTCTAGTTGAATGCTCTTTCTGGTGTTCTCTGATATATCTTCTTGAGACACTAAAACAAAAATATATAAAAAAAACTCATTTTCATTTACCAAAAGTAGTTGCTTATGTTTTTGTATGAATTGGTTAAGAAAATAATTAGTTCATTATTTTATAACAAATTTTCCACAACTTCTTTGGTTTATAATTGATACCGGACTTCGGTTTATAATTGAGAATTTAGTTGCTGAATAATAAGTTTTAAATTGGACGAAATTGTGTTTTGAAAATCTGGTTGTTATATGTCATATATTTTTTCAAAAATTAAATTAAATAAAATCAATGATATTTTTTTCTCAAGTTTAAACAAGAAAAAAAGAACATTTTTATTAAATAGTGTTTGTGAATGTAGAAACGGTCAACGTTTGAGACTACCCTTATAGCTTGTTTGTTTTTTTCTTTACAATTTTTTTACTTTTGTTGCATTAGTGCTGCACCAAGCAACGTTTGCATAACTTAAGAGTATTGGGTAAGAATAAAAATAAAAGGCAACGGGTAAGAAAAAAGTACAAATTTTTCAAACAAGATAGATTTAATGACTAAATTCATAAACTATACCAATGTTTTTTAATATTTTATATTTAACTAAAATTATGTTTGAGTTAAACCATTGGGTTAGTTTGTCTAGTTTTTTGTTAATTGTTCGAAATAATATACTGATATCTTTACTGCAATAAAATAAGTTAGTATCGTCTGGAAATAAAGTTGCATTTAAATTGTAGGAAAAATAATTTCAATCTTTTACATATATATGAGAAATAGAAGTGGTCCTGAAATTGATCTTTTAGAAACACCACAGGTTTTGTAAATAATATTTTTTACTATAAACAATTTTTTTAAAAACTTGATGTAAAATATTTCAAATGTTGGTAAAAAATATATTTTATTTGTCTACTTTATGCGTTCCGTAAAACTATATAAAAATAAAAGTATTCTCTCTCTCTCTCTCTCTCTCTCTCTCTCTCTCTCTATATATATATATATATATATATATATATATATATATATATATATTATATATATATATATATATATATATACATATATATATATATATATATATATATATATATATATATATATATATATACATATATATATATATATATATATATATATATATATATATATATATATATATATATATATATATATATATATATATATATATATATACATATATATATATATATATATATATATATATATATATATATATATATATATATATATATATATATATATATATATATATATATATATATATATATATATATATATATATACAGGGTGACCACAAAGTATCCGCACACGAGACGGTTTCATCTTGTGAAAATATAAGCATAAAAGCACTTATGTATTTTCTTATTTATCTGTTGTTTTTGGTTAATATTATGTCATAAACTTTATATACTTTACTTTATATACTTTATATACTTTAGAATGGTGCGCGTTTCTCCTTATCGTCAATTTTTCTCAATGGCCGCCATCGAGCCAAAAGCCGCATAAAAATATTGAAAGTTTGAAAAAATCACTACTGAAAGCTTGGGATTCTCTGGACCCTGCCTACTTGCTCGCCACCGTCGAAGCATTCCCGAAACGCCTACAGGCCTGTTATTTTGCTGATGGAGGAAAATTCGAATTCAATCTTTGAATCATAATTGTTATAGTTCAATAAATGTTTTAAAATAAAATTTGTGTTCCAAATACTTTCTACATGCTTTTTATTAAGCTCTTTATCTGTGCGGATACTTTGTGGTCACCCTGTATATATATATATATATATATATATATATATATATATATATATATATATATATATATATATATATATATATATATATATATATATATATATATATATATATTAAATAAGTCAATGCTTTTATAAGTATATAATAAAAATAAAAAGAATTTTTAAAATTTTTGAAATTTTTGCTTTTTTACCTATTACCATTTAATGTTTTTTTTTTTTTTTTTTTTAATTATTTAGGTGCCCAAGAAACGGTCTTGTCACAGACCACCGCAGAAGTGCATATAAGCAGGAAGTTCACGCCTCATTCCTTAGCGTGACGCGAAAATTTATTTTAACCTTATACCATCTAATGTTCCCATATGAGAACACTGCAAAAAGATAATATTCAAATTAATTTATACTTTGTATTTTTATAATTACGTATTATCATCTTTAATTTGAATGTTGATAGCTTATTATATCAAATTTGGTAACATTTGTATTTAAAATAGTATAGTTTTTAAAATGATCAAAAACACAAAATCTTGGAGTTTTGGAACCACTTAAAACCACTTCACAACTCAACTCCAAAAATTTGATTATTATTTTTTTGAGAAAAAAATAATTGTTTCGTAAATACAATATATCATTCACTTATATTGATATGCATGCTATAAATATATTGATATTCATGCTATAAATAAAAAAATTGTTAGATTGAAAGTAATGTTTTTATGGGAACATTAGGATATTAATAATGTTGCTAACCTTAAAGCAACTTTATTGATATCCTAATGTTCTAAAAAAAAAAAAAATTTTTTTTTTTAGAGCATAAGGATATTAATAAAGTTGCTTTAAGGTTAGCAAAATATTAAAAAACATTGGTATAATTTTTGAACTAATAAAGTTGCTTTAAGTTGAATGAGTCAAAATGCAAAGTAATGCATCTCGGCAAATCAAACAAACATCATAGTTATTCAATTCCATCAATACAAACATCATAGTTATACAATTCCACCAATAGCAAATGAAATAACAAGTATATGCAGTACAAACGATGAAAAGGATTTAGGTGTTATTTTATCTAGTAAGACGAAATATCACAGTCAAGTTATGTATGCATCAAATAAAGCAAATAAAATACTTGGAATGTTAAGTAGGACTTCCACCTATATGGATAATTGTTTTTTTTAAGGTGGTAGACTGCTAAAAAAGTTAGAAAAAAACGATTTTTCAAAAGTGGCATTGTTTTAAACAGTAACTGATGTAGAGTCTAAAAATATATAGATCTTCGTATGAGAAAAAAAATTTAGAACTAATAAAAGTGATTTATATTAGTAGGGTAATTTTGTTTCCCCTAGCAACGCTCATTGCAACCGCTAGTTAAGGTTAGTAATAAAAAAAAAATTAAAAAACAAAGAAAAAATTTTAA